GGTGAATTATTGGTGATTGTTGGTATAGGTACTATAGCAGCTAAAACTATGTCAGGAATAAGGCACATAGCCAATGTGAGATATGTACCAGATGTAGATCAAAACTTGCTTAGTGTTGGATAGCTAGTAGATTGTAACTATGCTTTACTATTCAAAGACAAGTTTTGCACAGTGTTTGACTCAGCTGGTTGTGAGATATTGACTGTAGAAGTGAAAAACAATTGTTATCCTTTGAATTTAACGGATGCTGAACAGTTTGTTATGTATACTGAGCAGGATTTGTCTAATGTTTGGCACAAACTTATGGGGCATGTGAACTTTAGTTCACTGATAAAAATGTCCTTAGAAGTGATGGTTGATGGCTTACCTGAAATAGTTAAACCAGATATGCTGTGCAAAGTTTGTCAGTATGGTAAATAATGCAGAAAGCCTTTTCCAAGAGAGAGGAGTTGGAAGGCTAAGAAGAAGCTTGAGTTAGTTCATTCTGATGTGTGCGGCCTTATGAAAACCTTGTCATGGAACAATAGCAGATATTACATTCTGTTTATGATGATTGGTCAAGGTATTTTTAGATTTTTTTCCTGCAATAGATGTCTAAAGCCTTAAAGCACTTCTCCAAGTTCAAGGCAATAGCTGAAAACCAAGCTGACATGAAGATTAAAACTTTAAAGAGTGACAATGGATCTGAGTTCACTATTGCTGAGTTTGAAGCATTTCTAACTCAGGTTGGTGTTGAGCATCAGTTGACAGTTACATATTCTCCATAACAAAATGGTGCGTTAGAAAGGAAGAATAAAATAGTGGTTGAGATGGCAAGGTGTTTACTATTTTCGAACAAGCTTCCAAAGGTATTTTGGCTAGAAGTAGTTAACACTGCAAATTATCTACTTAATAAATCTTAGACTAGGGTGTTAAACTTCAAAACTCTTTACGAAATGTGGTTAGAATGTAAACCATCAGTAGCTCATCTGAAAACCTTTGGCTGTGTTTGTTATGCAAAAGTACCAAATGAAAAGAGATCAAATTTGGATGCAAAGTCAGTTTTAGCTATTTTTATTGGTTATAGTGAAAGATCTAAAGGCTACAAGGTATATAATGTTGAAACAAAGAAGGTTCTTACTAGTAGAGATGTGTTTGATGAAGGTTACAATTGGAATTGGGAAGTTTCTATTGTAGAAAGTTCTAACAAAGTCACTTCTAGTAATACAAATTAGTTTGAAGCTGAGGTTGATTGTTCTTCTGATATAAAAGATGAAAGAAATGCTGTCATGGGCACCAAGACCTTACAAGATATCTATAGTAGATGTAAATTAGCTGTGAGTGAACCATCAAGTTTTGTTGAAGCAAATACTGATCAAAACTGAAAGAAAGCTATTAATGCAGAAATGAAGATGATTGAGAAAAACAATACCTAGGTTTTTGTTGATAGACCAGATAACTGGCATGTTATTGGACTAAAGTGGATTTTCAAAACTAAGCTGAATTCAGATGGGTCAATTAATAAGTGTAAAGCAAGATTAGTAGTTAAAGGGTATGCACAGGTATATGGAGTGGATTATAATCAAACACTCTCACGTGTGGCTAGACATGATACAAACAGAATGATTGTAGCCTTGGTAGCTAAGAAGGGATAGAGAATTTATCATCTAGATGTCATGTCTGCATTCTTGAATGGAGTCCTAATAGAAGACATTTATGTTGAGCAATCAGAAGGTTATGTGGATAAGGGATCAAAGGATAAGATTTGTAAGCTTGTTAAAGCTCTGTATGGCCTTAAACAGGCACCGAGGGCTTGGAATGAAAGGGTGAATGAACATTTCAAGAAAAAGGGTTTTCAAAGGAGTGTTAGTGAGTCATCCTTGTATATGAAATGTAGTGAAGGATATGTGTTACTTATTGTGGCACTTTATGTGGATGATTTTCTAATAACTAGTCCTAATAACCATCACCTAGCAGAGTTCAAGTCTCAAATTATGTTTGAGTTTGAAATGACTGATTTAGGTTTGATGAGTTATTTTTTGGGGATGGAAGTTGTACAAGCCAAGGATCAGGTGTCTTTGCATGAAACTAAGTATGCAAAGGATTTGCTGAAAAGGTTTCAGATGAGTTTTTGCAAGTCAATAGGCACTTTTTTGTCATCTGGTACTAAGTTTAGCAAAGAAAATGGTGGTTCAAAAGCTAATGGTCAGATCTACAGAAGGATTATAGGTTCATTATGTTACTTATCTATTACTCGACCTGACATAATGTTTGCTACCTGTTTGATGTCCAGATTTATGCAAGATCCTTCTATTTTTCATTTTACTAGTGTAAAAAGAATCTTGAGGTATATTCAAGGTACTTTGAACTTTTACTTGGTGTACAAGAAGAAAAAAGCAGTCAGTTGATAGGGTATTGCGACAGTGATTGGGTTGGTTCTGTAAATGACATAAAAAGCATAAGCGGATTTTATTTTCTTTTTTAGGAGTGCTATGTTCACTTGGAATTCAAAGAAGTAAGAGGTTGTTGCACAATTTTCTGCTGAAGCAGAATATATTGCTTATGCAACAACTTTTAATTAGGGTATTTGTCTGAGGAAGGTAATGGATGATTTGGGGTTTAAGCAAACTACAGGGAGAGTAATTTGTGTTGACAGTCTGTCTGCAATGGCTATTGCAAGGAATCCTATTCAACATGGAAGGACCAAGCATATTAAGGTCAAGTACCATTCATTAAGGGACGTTGTCAAAGATAATGAGATTGATCTTCAGTATTGCCATACTGATGAGTAGCTAGCTAATATTGTTACAAAGAATCTGAGCAAAGAAAAGTTTGAGTACTTGAGAGCACTTCTCGGAGTTTTCCATATCAAAGATTATGGCGGAGTGTTGAAAGAGTAATCTCTTTCTCTAGTAGCTAAGTAGCTGAGTAGCTGAAGTAGCTGTTATGTGGCTGGAGTCAACAATACTTGAAGTTTAAAGGAGATTCTAGTAGATGTCAAAATGGTGTAGTTTGTGCTTTAATTGTTTGTTAGTGTTAGGTTCTTGAAACGCACTATAGGAAGTCGTTTTGGTGAGGAGTCCGTTATATGTTTCAAGTTTCTGTTTTAGTTACCGTTGAATCTTTCCCAAGAATCGATGCTGGTTCATTTTCTTGATAGATTTCAAATCCTATTTCCTAGTGTTATGTTTATCGAGGCTAGATCTAAGCTCGGTTAAACTTTGATTTGAAAATCCTTGTATAAATATTGGAAAGAACTTTGAAACTGTGAGAGGAAATTTCATTTTTTCCAGAAAGCTTGTTCTATTGTGCTCTTCTTTTCCACATATTTCTTTCTTAATCTTTCCTCTGAGATTTTATATTGAAAATTCAATACCAACTTGTTAACCACCAGATCCTCATATTTAATACGAGTGCATCCCAATCCAACCCTTGAACTATCTAGTCAAGCATTCTTCCACTTGTGTTAGTCAAATCAAGCAGAGCATGTAGGAGAAACTTTCTTCATAACCTAAACATATAGTCAAAATCTAAGAGTGTCCTAATATGAACACCACCACTACATTAAGCAACTTATGATTAAAATGTTCAAGATTTGTTCCGTGCTTCCACAAGCATACCATGACCCAAGCATTATCGGGTTATAAATGTCAAATGTTTGCTCCCGCAACTCTTGCATGACATTTACTAGATTTTAATGCTTACCTATATCATTGTGTACCATACAAATATCACAACAAAAACAATTTCATTTTCAGCAAACAATTGCACTTAAAAACATTTCATCATTCACTACTAAGGCTTCACAAGCTCTTAGGTATATGTATAGCTCTTTAAACTCTTTATCCCATGGTAGTTATATGCGGGAACTACACCACCATCTCTGTGACCATGGTTGACATAGGTGAGAATAGTAGACGGGACTTCACCATCCTTGCCCAACAATAATACCTACTGTCACATCAACATAAGTTCCTTACAACACAGCTCCTTGAGCTCTAATATTCTATGGGTAGTACTTACAGTGTGAACGTTTTCATATTTCCTCAAGGTGTCCAACTTATAAAACTATTTCCACAAATTGTTCTGTTTCACATATTCTCAAGTGACATCATACTATCAATCTCATACCACATCAGATACATAAATATATCAATCAGTCATCCTCCGATTGTTTTGACTCATTGATGCTATCATAACCAATCTCATTTTCTCCACATAACCCATGTCATATACATTTTAGCGTTTAAAATGCATTTTCTTATTCCATAATCTCACAAGGCTCAGCATTGAATTCCATAACTCAATCCACATGTAGATATAACCCGGATATCTGGATGTCCTTGGGAGCTGTTGGGTCCAAATTGTACCTCAAATAGATAGCTTGTATAATTGTCATACTACATATAATGTTTTTGTTTACTTGGTCTCGTTAACTAAATGTTCAATTTTATACTCTATGAAAACAAAAGTATTAATGAAAATTTACTTTGATTCATTTATTTTAATACCTTGTAAAATAATATGCAATTGATAATTTGATATTCTGAAACATGACAAAGCCAAGAACTTTTGAAGTCTTTCTAAAGAAAAATAAAATATTAAGAATTTTGTGTACTATATTTTTCTGTCAATTTTGTGTACAACAAAGTATATATCAATAATCAGTAACCTAATAGTAAAGGAATTTGGGTGGATTCAATGTTTGACATTGGGCATTGGAATGGATAACATTTGGCTATTTACTATTTTGACACTTGGAGTTATAAGTGTACTATAAATCGCACTGACTTTAACTTATTTCATTTGGAGACTAGCGAGGATAAGTTAGGAAAAGGAATAAAGCACATTTCTTTTTTGTTGCCACTTTGATACCAACTTTTAGCTTCCGAAATTTTGTCAAAGCATTCTTGGAATATGAAATTGCAGCCACAATAAAACGTAAAGCTCGTAGCTTAAAGTGGGAGTATATGCCGATGATTGCCTATAATTTATGAAAAAGGACTTACACAATCAGTTTGATGGCTGTCAAAGCTGTGGTTAGCTCTACGACCCTTGCGTTGAGAATCTTCGCACTCTTATCTTTACTGGGTTCACTAGTGAGATTGGTTACAAACAGTTTCATATTCGGTGAAGATCACAAAATAACTTTCAAGGATATAACTACGTACAGGTGAGAGAGACTAATCCATATTTCTGCTAGTGTACATGAAATTCTATAAATCAATCTATGATTTCTCAATCTTCTTTCATATATAGTATACATATATTCATTTATTAGCTGTTGTCATCAATTGATAAATGTTACATGATCTTTAATTTGAAACCTCCAGTTACCCTTATTATTGTGTAGTCTAATAACATGGGGTAACCTTCAGGTATGTGTTTTCAGCTGCTGCTATTGGGGTATTGTTTACACTATTGCAGATACCTTTCGCCATCTACCACGTTTGCTGGGCGAAGAGGATGATACACCCAGAACTTTTGCTCAACTTTGATTTTTATGCTGATAAGGTCCCAACCATTGCATGGCATAAACTACGTTAAAAGAAACAATAATCGTATAAAAGATTTTGACTTGACCCTTTGGCTATGCTTGCGCATTATGGCAGATAATTAGCAACCTGTTGGCTGCTGGAGTTGGTGCCGGTTTTGCATATAGCATGGAGTTGAAGAAATTTCTTAGTGGCCTTCTCGATAGCCTAATAGTTCTTGGAGTTCCTGAAGCAGAGAATCTGAAATCAGAGGCAAGTAAATTCCTTGACAAGGGGAATTTTGCCACCAGTCTTCTGCTCATTGGATTCATTTGCGTGGCGGTGCTTTCCGTACTTCCCTCCTCTATGCCAAGAGAGAATCGTAGAGGTTTCATCGGAGGAGATTCTTCGAATTAATTCTGGATATATCTTGTGAATTGGTTATTCATCTTTTTGTTTTACTTTGGGGCAGAGGAAATTTCCAAACCATGAATGTGAACTGTGAAAGGGTACGAACAAGAGGTAAGGGTGAATGATTACTTGCTTTTGTCGTTAAAACATAGCAGATAACAGAATTTATCTCAAATAGTAAATTTTTGCTACTTAAATAGGAATTAAGTGTGACTAAATTTCACCCCAAATATATAAGGATTAATTGATAACTTTAATAATCTAAAGATTATTCTTAATATAGGATTATTGAGATTCCATGAAACGTTGTGATTTTATATCGCTGACGCATATCAAGGGAATGGTGCACCCAAAAATATCAGCTCTACAATCTTGATCTTTCAAGTCAAAAGCTTTGAAATTAATTTAATAAAAGCTTTTACGGGCATAAACTTGACCTATTCTGCACCTTTTCAGGAAGCTCAAAGTACTATCTTCATATACAAATGTTAATTTGAGAGAATCGATCAATTCGGGAAATTGGAATTAGTTCTTGTTATTTTCCCTCCTGGGTTTTATAGGAGAAAGGCTAACTACTGTTGCAGTTACTTATCAATCAGAAGTCAAAATATACTAACTAATGAAGGGGCATAAGGGTTAAGAAAATTACTACAGGACCCATTATTTTAAATGACTCACCTGCTAGTCACATGACACACTAACACTTCTATTACAATCGAGACATAAGTAAAAACATCAAAGCTACTGTTCTTCATTTTTTGGGCATTTCTTTGCATTCTGGAAAATCAATTTTGCTTTTTCTTTTCCCCATTATTCTTTTGATATTGCCCTTCAAGATGAGTATGGATGTTTAAAATGCTCATATATGGGTTAATAAATTTTTTAATTGTCCTGGATTCAAAGCTTTTGCGAAAACATCTACAATTTGTGAAGCGCTATTTAAACATGCTTTGGCACTATGACTCAAACTTGAACTTTCTCTTTAATAAAATGACAATCTAGCTCAACCCGTTTAATCGTTTCATAGAAGATAGGTCTTTTATAGATATGCAATGCAGGTTGATTATCAGAAAATAGTTCCACTGCTCCACCATGCTTAGTATCAAAATCATTTAATAAGAACAGCAACCAAACTATTTCACACCAAGTAAAGGTCATTGACTTATATTTTGATTCAGTTGAACACCTTGACACAACTGTTTGCTTCTTCGATTTCCAACTAACTAGTGATTAACCAAGAAAAATACTAAATCCAATAACAGATCTTCTAGTAATAGGGTAGCTTGCCTAATCACTATTCGCATAGGCTTCTGCACACAATTTTGAATCTGAAGCCAACAAAATACCTTGTCCAGGAGCACCTTTCAAATATTTCAACACTTTATAGGCTGCAATTAGGTGACCCTGATTAGGCTTATCCATGTATTATGATAAGATATGGACAACATAAGCTATATCAGACCTTTTGAAGGTCAAATGTAACAACTTACCTATTAACCGTCTATATTTTGTAGAGTTTGCTAACACATCATCATCACTTTATTGACAAAGCTTGTGATTGTTGTGAATAGGAGTAGAGTTTGGTTTTGATCCAAGCAAACCATGTTCTTTTAATAAGTCTAATGTATACTCTCTTTGGTAGACAAAAATAGCCATTGTTGATTTAGCAATTTGAAGGCCAAGAAAGTATTTGAAACCACCAAGGTCCTTTATTTTAAATTGAGAACTCAAATAATTCTTCACCTTTTTTGCCACTTGAACAAATGAACTACCAATAACAATATCAGCCATAAACACTAGCAAAGCCACAAGCTCTCCATCACTAATTAAATCCATATCTCAACAAAGACTTTGGAAACTTACTATTTCGTTGTCTAGAAGCTTGTTTTAGACCATATTATGATTTGTGAAGCATATAAACTAGCTTAGAACTAGGAGCATACTCCCTCTTAACTTGATATAGTTGAGGTAGATCCATATTGATTATTTCTTCAATGTCACCGTTTAAGATTATGTTGTGATAGAAACCTTCTTTTTGACTATATCTTTTTTTTGTTTTTGACTAAAGGTCTCTTGATAGTCAAATCCATTCATTTGACTATATCTTTTTGTTACTAGTCTAGCTTTATATCTTTCAATTCTACCATCTGTATGTATTTTCAACTTAAAACCCCACTTGAACTTATAAAGCGGAAACCTGAAGGTAAGGCCATAGCACTCCTTGTCCCATTAAGGCTTCCAATTAAGCTTTCATGGCATCTTTCCAATAGTGGACAACTTGATGATAATTTTCAAGTTCTTGGACTTAGGAAAGTGTAGTTGCAAAGGTCTTATGTGTTAAAAATGGACTAGAAGAAGGGTATAGGATGAAAGGTGACTTGATTTGTTTTAGAAAGAAGGTTACTATGATAGGCTTCTAAGTATCTGGAATATGTTTGCTTTTACTATTTTTTCTAGGAAATGAAGGATTCGGTGACATATGATCATTAATGGAATCAATAAAAAAAGATAGAGGAGAAACAAAATTATGCAAAGCTATGTCAATAATAGAATTCAAAAAATTAGAGCTATTTTCATATTAACAAAATGGAATAAAAGTTTCTCAATGAATGGCTATGAACAATTGATTAGGAATATGATCAAGAAATGATGAATTTTCAAAATTAGCATTATTATCAGTAGAATTAAATGTATGCACACAAGATGTTTATATGTGAAACTCGTACTTTCCATTACTTAGATAAATTAGATGATTAACTTGGTGAGCTTATGAAATTCAAAGACTAGCCAAAGAATCTTGATTTGATCCTTGACATTTCAGAATCAAAGATCATGGAGGTTGTGGAAAGGAATTGGGATGGAATTAGGCTTAAAAAGGGATAATTTTTACAAGTGAATACTTAAAAAGTCAACCCAGTGCATAAAGGATCGACCTTGTGAAGTAAAAACAAGGGAAGTGATAACATTCTGGTCTAGGGTTGACCCCAACCCCTCTGTAGTCCACCCAATGGCATCCGACCAGCTTAAACAGGCTTAAACTCCCTAAAACCCAAGACACACTCATTTTTTTTTCATATGTTTGTTCTTCCACCCATTTTCTCTCAAATTTCACATCTTCCAAGACCTTCAAACTCCATTATCAAACCTTGGATTCTAAGTACCAAAAGTAAGGATTTTCACTCCCCAAACTTGGTTTGTTTATTTTTGTTTTTCTCTATTTAACAACTAGAAACTTTTCTTAGGTTTTCAAATTTTGGCTAGATCTCTCCACTAAAAGCTCACCAAGGAGGAAGGATAGGGAAGATAAGTTGCTTACTTAATGTGTATGGGATTTGGATGAAAGATTGATGGAAATCATTGCAAATAAATGAAGATTAAATGGAGTTAGAAATGGGTATTCGATGTATTGCAAAATTTTTATTTATTTTTCAGAATATTGATGATTAAACATCATTTTAGGTATTATTGGAGTAGTTTGATTTTGGTTGAAAAAGTTAAGCTTTTGACAAAAGGTGCTAAAAGGAAAAGCCACTCTTCAATAGATGGGTAGATATGGCATTTTTAATTGTTTTTATATAATTAAACATGCCTATTCTACAACCTTGCATTAAAACATATTTTGATGAACTTCGTGATGTGAAAAATGGTTTCAAGCTTGTTTTATGAAATCTACGTATAATATGTAAATATGTTATTTAGTTTTAAGCATGGGAAATAAGCCTTTCAAATGTTTGATGCCCAGAAAATTGATATTTGTCTATGGTTATTTGGATGGTTGATGATTTGAAAACTTGGAATGAGAAAAAATGATTAATTTTGCATAGACCCTAGCAATGGGTCAATTTGTCCTTGAGATAGATGACTCAACTTAGTTTTCCTTTTTTTTTTTTTGATCTTTGGTTTTGTTTCGAACTCCTTTAATTGATGATTGGATTCATCCTTTGTTAGAAATTGGACATTGGATCCTTGACTTTGATTTGTTTCAAACCCTTTGATCTTGGATGGTGAATGAATACACCTTTTTGTTTGGAAATGAACATTTGAATATTTGGAAATATAAAACAAAATGTTTTAATGGAGCCTACTTGAGTTATGGACCTTTAGCTAGTTACAGTAGCCACTAGCCATTATGCACAATGCTTTACTTTGATTGGTTAGCTAACAAAGTCCTAGCCCTTTGACTTGGTTTCGTTTGGTAGTTGATACAATCCTACCTCCTTTGGTATACGATTGATAACTATTATGTGTCCTACCACTTTGGTTCTACAACACACTTTGATTTGATTGTCCATGCTACCTAACGCTCCACAATCTATTTGAAATGACATTTGACAATATGGAATTAGTAGTCGATATTTGATTTGATTTTGGACTTTGTAATGGATATTGTTTTGACTTTGAACTTTGAATTTGGTATTTGATTAAACTTTGGTCTTTGGATTTAACATTTGTTTCAACCTTGGTGCTTGAATTTGATATGTATTTTGATTATGGGATCTGAACTAGTATTGGTCTTAACCTTGATCTATGGATTGGTTATATGCCTTGAATTTAGTGTTTAAACTTCATTTGTTCAATTTAGCATGGATAATGTTATTTTTGAATTCCAATAGTTTTCTTTCACTATTTTCTAAAAGTATTAACATTATTTCATTTTTTAAACTAAACCTTTGTTTGCCTTATAAAATCATTTTAAATAATTTGTATCCATCGAGACAATGATTTGAGATTTTTTAGACAATTGATCATACTTGACACATAACTTGCAACTTGGGTTGTTTGAATTTGCTCAGGGTTTGTGTAACGACCTCTTCCCCCGATCGTTACCGATGCTCGAGACTTACGAGTTAACCCGTCAAATCTCAAACAAGTCTTAGTTAAACCTCCAAGAAATTTAAACTCAAATTACAATTTCAACACCATAGTTCATTTAAACCAAATAATCATAATATTTGATGCATTGTATCTGGATACTAATAACCAGGTTTGATAATTCTATACGATTT